TCCATGACAAACCAATAAAGATTAGTCCCTACCTGCTTTAATGTTCTCCGTAAGGATTTGTTACATAGCCAAAGGCAAGCCTGAAGAAGAATGGAAGGCTTAACGAATCTGTTTTTATGTTTCATTATCGTCCCTTGTGTTCCTCATTATGTCTCTTAGCAAATAAAATCACTAGGAATGCAATTTTATGGCAAATCAGCTAAGATTTTAGTACATATCATAGTAACAGCTCCCTTCTTTAAGCTCTTATTCATGTGTTTGGATACTTACATATGCTGTTTACCCACACATAGTTTCTTCTGTTCTTCTTGTCAGAAACACTCCTTAATTTTACAACTACACAAATTAGGAAAACCTATCTAAACATATGTTATTAAAACCTTTTTTATTGAGGTGTTAAAAAACGAAAGGATGACATCTTTTGAAAATTTTCATTGTTGGTTTAACTTTGTGTTATTCGCAGTGAAATTAACCTATGCCATCTTCAGTAACAGCAAGTAAACCCGCACTAAGTGCTTCTGAAACAGTGATCAGGCAAGACTATGTAATCTGCATGCAAATACGTGCATGCACATACATACTACAACGACGTGGCAAAATTACAGAGCAAGAACTCAGAAAGGCATATGGCTGTGATGACATCCCAGCACTGAGCTCAATATTTATACACTGAACAGCTATCAACCACAAGAGCCCCAGGGCATCATTTTTGTTGAAAGCAAACCTGAAATTGTAGTGAAAGAATTTTGTAACCAAGCAAGGATATAACTGAAGCTTACCTTCAAGCTAAATGTAGCAGCTTTGTTGATCATTAGGTCCTGTACATCTTGAAATGTGCACTACAAAACACACATACATACACACAGGAGAAATCATCCAGGTTTGGCTTTAAGTCCTACAAACAATCTTTATAAAAGGTTTGTTTAATCACAGAGCTACAGTATTACAAGCATATTACTACCACACAAATAACTACTTGCAACATATTTTCAAGAACTCGGAACATAAGTCTTGTCTTTGAACAAAAACTTACTAATGCACTCATTGAGCAATTTCAGACTTGTAATACTCCCTCACATTGTAAAAAGGCATTAGTGAAGTGAGTTTACAAATTTTTAAAAGCAGATGGACAATCTCTCTTAAATGTTTAACAGCTTCATAAACGTATGCTAGCTTTTCTTTCATCTCTGTCCTTTCACAGTTTGGGTTTTCATGTTGTTGCTTTTGTGAAAGGAAAAAAAAAAAGTACCAAGAAGACACAAATATTCAGTTCAGCTTCATTAAACTTAACAGAATTCTATTAAGTACTCAGGATAGATTTGGTTGGCGTCAAAGATAACAAATATTTTCGGGTTCCAGGTATTATCCACACAGCTGTCATATAAGTTCACAAAACTTCCATCTCTTGAAGGAGGCCTCATGTATTTTGAGTCACCATTGATATAGTCGCCAGTTAATACACGAGCAAGAAACATGACTTTATCTGGTTTGTGCAGATGAGGCTGCAGATTCACACCATGAATTTGGAAAGTATCTCCATGCTTCATATCCTCTTTGCAGAAACGACTGGAATATGATGCATCTCTTGCAAAGTAGGTCCCTTTCAAATAAAAAGCAAATTCTTATTATATATAATTATAATTATTATAATTATTATATATTAATATATTATATATATTATATCATGGTAGGTTGACTTCTAATGAACAGGTAGGTACCAGGCTGATGAAAAAAGTCTGTTCTTTTCTATTTATTAGCAATCCAATGACTTTTTCTGACATCATGATAATCCAATCCTATGTTGGCCAACAGTGTCTGAGGTATGAATCTATGCTGATGGTATGGCATTAGAAGTTGAAAATTCTCACCAATATTCTGTTAAATTCTATTGTCACGTGACAAATGGATGCAGAGGGCAGTCTGACAGAATGGTGACTGATAAGGAAGTGTGTATGAAGCAAAGATGTGTCACTGAATTCCTCCAAGTAGAAAAAACATTGCACCCATTGACATTTTTTGATCCTTACTGAATATTTACAGAGACCAAACAGTGGATGCAAAGCAGTGAGTGGTGCATTTCAGCAGTGGTGGCAGCAAAGTTTAAGACAGGCCAAGTTGCAAATGGCCTTGGACACCATGTGCAAGTTTGTCAGGACCTATGGAACGAGGCTGAAGGTGACAGTTTCCTGGATCGCATCATTACTGGTGTCATGAGACATGGTGTCACCACTGTGCGCTGGAGTCAAAACAGCAGCACATGGAGTGATGACATGTGAATTCCCCACTGAAGACGAAGTTCAAGACACTGCCCTCAGCAGGTAAAGTGATGTGGACTGTCTTTTGGAATAGGGAAGGGGGGATCCTTCTGGATTTCCTAGAACCCAGACAAACCATCAACTCTGACTGCTACATCGCGATGCTGACTAAGTTGAAGACTCAAACTCCCAGAGTCAGGCCAGAGAAGAAGACAAACTTTCTCTTGCAACACGGTAACACCAGGCCCCGTACTAGTTTGAAGACCTTGCTGCACATTGCCAGTCTTGGCTGGACTGTCCTACCGTACCCATCATAGAGTCCAGATTTGGCACCTTCCTACTTCCATCTGTTAGGGCCAATGAAAGATGGACTGCACGGGCAGCATTTTTCCTATCAACAACATTGTCACAGCAGCTGTGAAATAGTAGGTCACCTCTACTGGTGCCAATTTTTATGAGTGCGGCATGGAGGCTCTTGTTCATGGCTGGTGACTAATGTTGAAAAATAGTGTTTTGTAGTGGAGAATGTGCTCTATCAAACTGTGTTATTGTGCTCTTTGGATCTGTTGTAGTTTCTATGGAAATAAATAGGAAGCATTACTTTCAGAGCAACCTACAGAACATGAGCAAGTATTTTGCGTGTATATTTTAGCAGGGACACTTTCCTTGTGAACTACACTGCTTTGCAGTTCACCCTTCATCCACCCCATTCCCAAGTCCTACCCGACAGTTATGCTCACTATATTATTCACTGTATTCTTACTTTCTTAATTTATCTCCATCTTAATTTACATCTTTTACTTGATGTAAAAGCAGAGCAATATTAAATGTCTCTGTAAAAACACAGGAGTACATCACAAAGAACATTCTATACGGAATACTTAATGTTGAACAGTTCAGACTGCCAAACTGCTGTATGTGAAAAAATATTTACCTTTTCCATATACAGCAGCATGCATTCCATTTATTCTCCAGTCAAAGTTATGAATACATATTGCTTCTACAAATTCATTACTGGTGCCATGAAATAACATCTGCTCATTAATAGTTGTGACACCTCTTTTCTTCTTCAGTTGAGCTTTCTTCCTGCAGAGAACATACAATGCAGCATTATAAGCATTTGTACAAAACCAATTAAGTTCCTACTCTGAAAATACTGCAGAGAGGTGACAGACTTAATACTTCATGAATTTCACTTTTGCAAGTGTCTATGTGATTTCGTATTTTAAAAGAGATTAGAATTCTTAAGGTACATGTTTAGAAATCATGTCTGGATGCTGTAGACTATTTTCAGAAGTAATCTAAGGTTGGGAAAAAGGGTCCTCTAAAAAATTTTTATCAGTTCTGTTTGTGTGATAGCTTCAGTACAGTCATTTTCTGCACATACACTCAGGAAAAAAAAAAAAAATCTTTTATTTTGTTGTTGTTTTTGTTCTCTTCAACTGCATACACTGCATGGTTAGAGGGATAACAATCTTAGTGGATTATAATTATCCCGGTAAAATAACAAAACCTTTAAAAATAAAAGTACCTAAACGTTTAGGCAAAATTACCAACATGACCATGGTTTCCTGAATTTATGGTTCACATACGTTCTAGAAGAGTCAAGTCTTGTGCTATACCATTAAAGAATTTTGGAGAGAAGAGGGGAAAAAAAACAACAAAACAGGACAACAGACGAGCCTATATTACAGTCTTATGGGCAGAAAGCCATGGAACATGTACAAAACTAAGATGCATCGTAGCTTCATTCTTGTCTATGTACCTGAATTTTCTATGCATAAAAACCACAGTGGCTGCAGAAAAAAAAAAAGAAAAAAAAGAAAAAAAAAAGCAGATATAGGTTTATCAAATCAAGCAATCTGATTGTAACTGTAGCACAGACATGAACTGGGGAGGCATTCTCAGGGCCTACAGTTTAGATACATCAATCTCCTATCAACCAAGTCCAGAGAAAGAGAGAGGCGGCAAAAATTTGTCACCATATTAAAGGCATTATATTGCAATTATTTATGATTTATTACTAAATACATTTTGAAGGAATTGACATCTTGCAGTACTTTGCTTAAAAA